CCTTTATTTTAGAACAAAGTTTTAAGTTTTATTTTTGGAGGTGTCTTCGGAAGTAGCTAAGCGGATTTAGAATGGGGCTCAGGCTCGTGGCTGGTCCGGAACGTCACTCTCCCCCACCCCACCCCACCATAACCCCAAAGGTTATGGTTAATTAGGGCTGAACTCTGAATACAGAGATGCCCATCTCTTTCGCTTGAAGTCATTTCCCGTTGCTTCTTTTTCTCTTGTTTAAAATGACATTCAGCTTCATTCACTTTCCACATAGTTTTTTTTTTTTTTTCCCCAATGTGTGCCTTCCTTATACTCCCAGCTCCCCAAACTCTGAAGTCCCCTCTTGGAAAGGTGGGTGAATCTCTCTGGGTTGCCGGACCCCCTCCGGGATACAACAAAGCCTTAAGAAAGGGAGGAGGAGAGGAAACTGAGGCGCCCAGGGTGGAGGCACCAGCCTCTTCCAAGTTACCTCCAGCCGCCCTGCCCCCGTTCCACTTCCCCCATTAACCTTGATATTTTTTTTTTTCCTTCCTGCGAGGTGGAGGGCTGTAGGCAGGAGAGTAGACTTAGGGGAGGGACGTGGGGATGGGGGTGTGTGGGGGGCAACTTTTGCTCCCCTTCTGCATGAGGTCTTACTCCTTGTTGCTTTCAATGGTGTCACATTTTCTTGTTTGTTTTCCTCCCTCTTTGTCTCCTTTCAGAGGCTTCGGTTTCGTCACGTTCGCAGACCCAGCAAGTGTAGATAAAGTATTAGGTCAGCCCCACCATGAGTTAGATTCCAAGACGGTAGGTTGCTTTTTGTTTGTTTGTTTGTTGTGGTGGTTGTTGTTGCTCGCCCCTTTTCAGGAACGATCTGGGCATTGACAGCCCTATTTAAAGGGACAGCGCCTTCTTTTGCTTCTGTGCTAGAAATGGGTACTTTTAAACCGAGCTAGCTAGCGAGTTGGCTCAGAAGTTTGCTGCGTTGGCTGGGTTTGGGGTTTTCTTTTAGAGCCTGTCCCATTGCAGCTTCGGGAGTCTGGGAGGAGGGGATTTGACTCCCCCGAGGGGCTATTCTCCCGGCCAGGGGGACTGTACAGAGAAACTACCAGAGAGCAGAGGGAACTTTGTCAGCCAGCACTGCCCGCGTTACCAACTGTAGCTGTGGGAATGGCTTGTTGGAGGCACAGCCTGCTTCCCGGCTGAGGGAAGCCAGGGTGGCGGGGGGGAGGGAGGGGGTGCCCATCCTGGGTCCAGGCAACAGGTTTCTCTTGGTGCACTTGGGATTTGGAATGCGGTTTGAGAAGAAAAGGAGTCGCTAGCAGAGCCAAGCTGGGCATCCAGTGGGGTGACTCCAGATGGCGTGAAACCGAAGCCTGATAAGGCCTTGAGTTTCAAAGTGATTTTTTTTTCTTTCTTTTCTTTCTTGGCTCCTTTCATATGAGTGTGGGTACTTTTATAGCATTAGAAGTTTTTAAAATCCAGATTGGAGAGGGGGGAAAAGTTGCTAGGGTGAGGTCAGAGAGGAAGGGAAGAAAGAATTGTCAGTCTGTAATAATAAATGTAATGTTAGGGGAGGCTGGGGAGTGTTTTATTTAAGCCCCTGTGTTGTCTTCCTGCCTCTCCTCCCTTCCCTGTACGTCTACTGTAATTTCCCCACGATTTTTTTTTTTTAATATCTGCTTAAACCGAGGCCTTGAGGTGATGTTGGGATGTAGTGGTGGGCAGTGTGGGGCTCCACTTCTCTATGGTGGGCTCCAGGGATGGAGCTAGAGATGGGGTTCTCCTTCTAGTGGTCCATCATGAATTTGGGCAAGTTATTCCCTGTCTCTGGCCTCAGTTTCCTCTTCTGTAAAACAAACAGAACAAGGTCATCTTTTAGATTCTTTTGGGTTTAACATTGAAAGCCAAAGAGATGGAACACTGAATGGAAGAGAAGAAAAGAAAAGAAAAAAAAAACCTGACAACCTTTGATATGCACTCTTATTGATTTTGCAAATTCACCCTCTTTCTCTGATCAAAGAGGTCAGGGGCTGCCCTCTCTCCCCAGGAAAAGACCTCACATACTTAGTAGCTTTATTAATTTTCTTGGAAGTATTTTAGCTTATGGCTCAGACATTTTGTACTTTTAGAGAATTTAATTTCAGGAATAATCATTTGTAGGGTGATAATGGATGTCTGAGGATTTTTTTTTTTTTCTCCTTGACTTCTTGGCTAGATATTTTAAAAAACTCGTAAAATTAATGAGGAAAATCATCTCAAGGCAAATTCTTGAATTTCTGGTCTACCCCCCTCTCCCCACCTGGGTGGGAGAATTAGAATTTGGTTTCTGAGGTGGCTGGTGGGTTGATCCTTCAGCGTCAAGGGCATAGCCTACAGTTTCCCTCCCTAATTGTTTGTAGACGTGGTAGCTATTATTTAGTATAACCTAGCTTTTGACTTTGTTTCAACGTTCAGTGCAGGAGGCAGAAGGCGGTTGGTTTATTGACATGGAAACGAGGATCTTGTTTACCCTTACCTTAAAAGCTTTGTTTAGGTAACGGCCATTCGCATCCAAATTAGTACCCTAGTGTTTCCTAGAGGACTGTAGATGCAGTAAGTAGAGTTGTACCTAACTAACTAATGTTTTAATTTTTGGTAGTTTTCTTTTTTTTTTGTTGTTCATCTTTAAAAACTAGTTGACAGGGATGTACAAAAGGTTGGGATTTGCCATCTTGCCTTGACCCCTCCTCTCCTTTAGAGATCTCCGCGTGTAAACTTTGCACGCTGACCTCAGTGCCATGCGTGGATGTCACCACACACAGTATAGTTCCGAATTGGCTTTTGGTTTTGTCATTTTAGTTTTTTTAAAGCTTATCACATTTTTCCTTGTGTCGTCTCCCCTCACCTCCTGACCTCTCCTTTGATGTGCCCTTTATCTTTTGTCCCGAAAACAAGGTGGACTTCTTTTACAATTGTGTGCTGGTCAGCTAAAAAAAATAAATAAATAAATAAATAAAATCCTTTCGGAGAGTGTTTTTGAACAGATGCTTCTGTCCTATGTTTGGTCAACAGAATGGAAAATCCACACCTGTTGTATTTCTCTTGTAGATGAGCTGTAGTCAGTGCTGGGCACACCTGTAGATGCAGTAATGTTAATCTTTATGAAAGGGTAGTTTCTAGATCAGAGATTTTGGGGGTCTCTTTTAGCGTTTGAAAAGTAATCTCTCATTTCTCAGGTGATGCTTCAAGCTAGAAAACACGAAACAGACTTTTATTAGGTCTTTAAACTACCTTAATAAAAGCGATAAATCCTTGTGCGTCTTTACTGCCCGGGGTCCTAGGGGATGTTAAGTCAGGGAACAGAGAAGCTATCAGTGGTGAGCTTTTCATCCTTTGCTCTTTTTCCCAAAGCAGTATTTTTTTTCCCTCCATGACAGAACTGAAAACAAATTCAGGTTTACTTTTTAGAAGGGAAAAAATTTAATGCAAAAGCCAAAGCCTTTAAATAAATAACTTGCAGCCGTATTCATGCCCTGAGTTGGATTTTATCCAAAGATTTATGACATTTAGAATTTTGATGAAAATCTACAATGGAAAATGATTTTTTTTTCTTCTTTTTATCTATCCAGTAACTTTTTTTCCTCCTCACTTCAGCCTGTTGGATTCAATTGCTTCTGTGGGAATTGTTTTGAGTTGTAAAAACTAGTCTCTGATTGAGAATCATGTGCTCTCCAGGCTTCTGATTTGAAGTGGAGAAGTTTTTCCATTGAGATGGAGGTGGAGGTGGGGATACCCTAATTCTCAGACTAGATTCTGAATTTTTTTTTTTTTTTTTTTTGGCGGTGCTGTGGATTGAACCCGGAGATGTTTTACCACTGAGCCACATCCCCAGCCCTTCTTATTTTTCATTTTGAGACAGGGGTATTGCTAAGTTGCTGAGCCTGGCCTCATACTTGTGATCCTCCTTCCTCAGCCTCCCAAGTTGGTGGGATCACAGGTGGGAACCACCACTGATTGTGACTTTTTTTTTTTCCGGTCATTTTATTTTTCACCATCGCCAGGCTGACCTTTTCTTTTTGAATTTGAACTTAGGTCACTCATAGATTTTTACCCTATATGTGTTTTTTTTTTTTTTTTTTTTTTTTTTTTAAATCCGGGTGTATTTAGTTCAGGTGCATTTTTTTCTCTTTCTTTTTTAAATTATACTTATTTTAAGAACCAAGTCCAGCTCCGCAGTTTTGGACACCTGCTTTCTTTTGAGGTTTAACTCCGGAACAGATCTTTTTGATTAATCCTGGGTCACTTTATTTTGCTAAAATTCAAGCAGAGCATTGTGTTGGATCTGATTACTTGGTGCTAGAAGGGCTTATGTTGAATTTTCAGGTTATGATTTTTTTCAGTGATGACCTTGCTCCTGTCTTTTCTCCTGGACTCACATTGCAGATTAGCTGTGAGTAGCTTTTACTGGGCAGTGTCTGTGGAAGAGAATCCCTTGTCTAAATAAGGGTATATGACACCTGGTTTATGAAGAGCATCACACACTGAGATGCACCATGAGGCATTTCAGAAAGGCCAATTTTGGRGGGATGATGAAAGCTGAGCTCAGCATTGAAGGGACTTTGCAGGTGCCCAAGAAGTTAATAAATGCCAAGATATAAGCCTGAGAAATGAGTGATTAATAATTAGGTGATTGATCCTATTTTTTCCCCTTTCCTTAGCATTTCACTGACTCCTACTTTTCCATTTTTCCCCCCAGATTGACCCCAAAGTTGCATTTCCTCGTCGAGCGCAACCCAAGGTAAGTAGGAGAACCAATGATAGGCTTTTAGGATTTGCAATGAATGTAAGGATTTCAAGTTCGCATGGAGCTTTGACCGTGCAGTGTTGAAACCCAATATCCGCTGTACTTTAGGGTGTCAGCATGGGTGGTGAGTGCAGACCAGCGGTTCAATGGGATAACCCCACGGYTAGTGCGCCTCTAAGTTTGCTGTCCCCAGGTGGGTTCTGAGCATCCAGCTGGGGAGAGGGACAAGTCTGATCCTCAGCTGGAGGAGTTGGCTCCGTCTGTTGTAATATTTATGCAAGTGTTCTGTTTATTTTTTAAGCGTTGCTGAGATCCTATTGGGAAAAAGTGGAACATTTCTCTGTGACTCTCACTCTGGAAGGGTATTCTTGAGTTGGAGTTTTTGGAGAGGAATAGAATGAATTTAACTTGGAAACAACTTCTTAGACCCCCTAAAGCCATAAGTCTGAGAGCAGAAGCAGGGGATATCGTGGTTTCAAGTTGTTTGGATAAATCAGGGCAAACTTGAAACCAACAGTGTTGCTTATTTTGTGCCTGGGCGGACAAGTTCGGAAAATGTTGTAACCCCGAAGGAGTGATACTCCAAGACTTGCTGAAAGGATTGAGACAGGGCTGCACTTTTTTAGAAGTGTGTAGTTAACATAGTTCTCACTAAGCCTGCCTGCTAGGTGGCCCAGAGGACACAGCTGCGTGAAGTCCACGGTTAGGTCGGAAGGGCTTAGGGGGTCTGTGCTCAGTTTACACTTTTGAGGTATGCTTTCTGCTTCCTTGTGTAACCTTGGAAGAGATACTTTTCTGTATCTGTGGCCTTGACCCTGTCAGGTGAAAGGGGAAGAGTTGAAGGTTCTAGATTGCAAGACACAAAGGAAAAGGGTTATGTGGCTCTTTGCAAATTCAATTTACTTCTTTAAGCACAGTCTCTTGGAGAGGAACCTTCTAACTATAAAGGGGAAAACAGTTTTGTACATTATCACAGAAAAAAGTGGGCTGTTTTGGATGATATTTTGAGAATTTCACGTCTGGATCCTGCTACGTGAGTGAGTGATTCTTTCTTTCTCTTCCTTTTTAAAGATGGAACCAGAATTCCTTAGGTAAATATACTGACATATTTTCTTAAGGTATTTTCTTCCCCCCAGTGCTTACGTAGACGGTAGGAATTAACGAACTGAAGRGGTTAGATTACTTCTGTACATAGCACAGCCTTTGGGATCATCTTAATGTGTGTAGTTGCTTTCCAAACTGTGTGATCCTTTACATTTAAGAAGGCTTCCCAGGCTTAGCGGTATTTCCTGGGTTTGGAAGAACTGCTGTTTCTTCCGTAAGTGTGAATCTTCAAATTTCCAGGTTAGTCATTTGATCACTCAGAAACTTGGATCAGATTACCCTAGAGGGAAGCTGGAAAAATCCCTGACTTGGTTAAAGCATGGGTTTGACCTGTTTTCTCTTCCCCTTTGTTATCCCTACCTCTCCCCCGCCCCCACGTTTTCTTTTTAAACCAGGAAGGCAATATTTCACTTTAATGTATTCTGTCATTTGKTTTTTTCAGTGATACATTTAACTTGAAAACAAGATACACTATTTCTCAAACTTGTGGAGTCATGCATCTTCCAGCCCTCTGTGCTGTTGAGGCGAATGGTCCAATGTGCATTAATATCAAATCAGTTGGTGGGGGGGAACATGGAATTCTGGGGAATTTGTAATAATGACACTTGTCACCTAACAAAGGGCTTCTCTGTCTCAGTTTCCTCATCTGTAAAGTGGGAGTGATGACAGTAGCTTCCTCAGAGGGTTTTAGGGAAGAATAAAGGTCACGATGGTTCATGGTAAGAGCTTTGCAACTCATCATTACCATTATGATTGTCATTTTAATCATCCTGAGGGTAGTAATGTTTGCAAGCTCCCCAGCCTGGCTTCAGATGCCAGTTGTGCCACTTCTTAGCTGTGTGAACTTAGAAAAATGACTCAACTTCCCCGAACCTCAGTTTTGCCTTCTCACAGGATTTTTCTACAGATTAAATAAAATTAATGTGCTTTAAAAAAGGCCTGGTGCACAGTGATACCATATGTAGTGCCTGCCATTTTTACTATTATTTTTTGTTAGGTGCTCACCCCAGCACTATRAGAGGTCAGGTAATAATAATGATACTGAGTGAATGTACGTGCCAGGAACCGTTGTCAGGACTTGCTGTGTATTAATCCAGGTAGTCCCCACCATGGCTATAAGGTGGGTCTTAGCATTATCTCCAGCGTATAGATGAGGAAACTGAGCCACTGATGGCTTGAGAAGTGGTACAGGAGATTCACCGCATAACTTTGCTCCAGAACTGGACCTTTTACCGTGTGCTTTCCTGTGGGGGTACCACTGGGCCTCCCTGCTCTGTCTCGGAGGAGGAGACAGGCTCTTCGAGGCCAACTGGGTGCTAGGAGCAGAGCCACAGCCAGACACTTCAGACTGTGAAGTTCTGCAGTTTGGGATTAGGGTCATTCTCCTCCCCCTGCTCTGTGACCCTGATATGTACTCTTTTTTTTTTCCCCCGTGGTGCTGGGGATCCAACCCAGGGCCTTGTGCATGCGAGGCAAGCACTCTACCAACTGAGCTATATCCCCAGCACCTGTCATGTACTCTTGCTTCATCCGACCACTCAGGGGATCCTTTTAGACCGTTCTGATTTTGCTGCACCTGGTGAGGCACCCCGAGAACCTTCTAGGTGTGTGGTGGTTGGGATTTGGAGCAGAGTGGGTAGAAAGGGCCATTTTCTGTCTGTCATTATTTTGAACAGAATTTGAGCTTGGCCACCAGCATTTCAGATTAAAGTTACTTTGGGGGACCACAGCCGGGCTGGCAGGAGTGTAGAACTTTCAAAGAAAGCCTATGCATTGATTGTTTATCTCCCTTCAATGTAACTTCTWCGAGTCTGCTTTAAAGGTCGCAGTGGCACAGTGAACTGGACTCCTCCTTGTGGACTGGCTGAGGACCTAGTAAAGGATAAGTCACTTTGCCTTTCAGTTAAAACTCATTTGTCTGCTTTCTAGCTGCCCCAGAGAAATATTCCATGGAGGTGTTAAAACAAGGCTAGTGGAAAGAAGCTGTAACTTAAGATGCAGGGAAATCTGTGGCAGTGAAGAACAGATTTTGTATTAGAACTGTCATAATATTCTTTAATGTATCATAAATAAAAATCTGTTTTGACCAGAATTTTAATGAGGGACSGAAGGAAGGGTTTGGAAGCCTGCAATTCAGTCATCACCCTCCGCGACGTCCATGTTCACATCTCAAGTGAGGTATAATGAGCTTTATTAACCAGTCCAGGGATAACTCTTTGGAGACCGGTGACCGTTAATTAGTGAAGTACATTTTGATCAGGAGAAGAAGAGGGTCCATTCAATATCTTTCTATTTTTTTTCCCGGATGATTACTTCATTTTGTAAAATATGTAAGAGTCTCCTCCTTCGTCTTTTTAAAAATTAAAATGGTCATGCTATTCTCAAAAGATGACTTAATTTGAAGCTGTTGGAGAAATGAGGATGATGGGGATCAATCATGCTGTGTCCTTCCTTTGTCCCCTTTGGGATGAAGTGTTGGCTGCCTGGAAGAGTTTCACTGGAGTCTGTGGCCGMTTTTTCTTCTGTGGAAGAACCAAGAGGCTCCTTAGCATCTATCGGCGAGAGTGGAGCCTGGTGTCACTCGCCATCTGTTCTAATTATCCTTGTGTATAAAAACACATTCCCCACTCCTCCCAATTGCCATTCCCCTCAAGTTCTATTTTTGTTTTTTTAAATTTAAATCAATTTTTTAAAAAAACTGATACATAAAAACATAAACATCGTCCATATTAACGGGGTGCCATGTGTCGCTTCCGTTCTTGCGCATCTTGAGCCTCCTTAAGGTTTTAGAGCCCAGAACCTTAGCTGATGACCCCGAGAGAGATCATTTCTTCAGCYTGTTGCCACTTGCTTTCTGTTGCAGCTGGGTCACTGTGGGTGAGCCACTTGAGCCCCTCCAAGTCTCAGTTTGCATCTCTGTTAAAAAAAAAAAAATTGGGAACATTTGTACGTATCACGTGGCACTGTTTAGAAGACGAATCTAAAATTCTTTGCTGAGAGTCATGTACCAAGTGGCACCCGGCCAAGGTCTGGTGATACTATCATTATAGAAYCCTTATATTTTGTGGTACTAGGGATTGAGCCCAGACAGTGCTCTACCACTGAGTGACATCCCCAGACCTATTTATTTATTTATTAATGGAGATAGGGTTTTGCTAAACATTGCTGAGGCTGGCCTCCAATTTGCAATCTTCCCGCCTCAGCCTCCTGAGTAGCTGGGATTACAGGCCTGTCCCACTGTGTCCGGCTCGTTATAGAATTATTTTAATAGAACAACAACAACAATGAGAAAAATTACAATACGGGGATGCCCTCAGGAAAAAAACCATCTCAGTTGGAGCGTAAGCTCCCTGGTGGCAGGGAGCTGTTGACGGTCAGTGCTCAATAATTAAATGAATGATGTGAGTCGAGCCTGCCCTTTTCCCAGGGGAGGCATCTGTCACCTAGTTGGTTGTTTCAGGTCCCCACCACGGTTAAGGTATGGAAGGGTTGAGCTAGTGGACAGGTTTTCCTGTTCCTTGTGTTGTCCTCTGATACGGCTTCAGGGCCCTGGAAGGTTCTCTCTGAAGCACGCCTCCAGATGGGTGCTGTGGCAGTGCGGGCGATTTCACGCACACCTCCCCGTTCCGGGGGAATGGTTTCTTGGCAGCTTCTCAAGGGCGAAGGGTGAGCTTCTTGCATCTGGCTTTCCCTCGCTGTGCTGCGGCGGGTCGGGTCACTCTAGCATCTTGCCATCTTGGGTGATCTGCAGCCGTCATTTTGGCAGCCACCGTTAACCGACCTGTCGGTGGCTTTTCTCGTCCCTGCGAGGATGTGGTGGCGTGTCTGCGGCCCTTTTCCACACCAGTGAGGACCTCGGAGGGATTAGTGGCTTAGCTTCTTGCTCGTTG